TGTTTTGAATCCAGCCAGAGACTCCGCAGGAGAAAGACTTGGAGATCTGCTTCTGTAAAGATTGTAGCCAAGAAAACCCTACTGGGCAGTTCTACTCTGTCACATGAGATCGCTTTGAGTGGGAATCGCCTTGATGGCGCCCAGCAACAACATATAAATGTCATTTTTTTTAATGCATTTGTTCAATAGTTATAGAGTCATGCTTCCTCAAAAAGTTAGAAATAGAAGTATCATACGATCCAGCAATCCCACTTCTTGGAATATATCCTAGAGAATTAAGAGCTGTCACATGAATAGATATATGTACACCCATGTTCATTTCAGCACTGTTCACAATAGCAAAAAGATGGAAACAACTTAGGTGCCCATCAACAGATGAATGGATAAACAAATTATGGTATATTCGCACAATGGAATACTATGCAATGATAAGCAACAATGATGAATCCATGAAACATAACATGGAGGAATATGTAGGGCGTTATGCTGAGTGAATTTAGTCAATCACAGAAGGACAGATATTGCATAAGTCCACTATTATAAGAACTCAAGAAAAGGTTTAAACACAGGGTGGGGAGGGAGGGTGAAGGTTATTCACTAACTAGATAGTAGACAAGAATTACCTTAGGTGAAGGGAAGGACAACACACAATACAGGGGAAGTCAGCACAACTGAACTAAACCAAAAGCTAAGAAGTTTCCTGAATACAACCAAACACTTTGAGGGACAGAGTCGCAGAGGCAGGGGTCTGGGGACCATGCTTTCAGGGGACGTCTAAGTCAAATGGCATAACAAAGTTTATTAAGAAAATGTTCTGCATCCTACTTTGGTGAGTGGCATCTGGAGTCTTAAAATCTAGCAAGCGGACATCTAAGATGCATTAATTGGTCCCAACCACCTGAAGTAAAGGAGAATGAAGAATACCAAAGACACGAGGAAGGTATTAGCCCAAGAGACAGAAAGCACCACATAAACAAGAGACTACATCATCCTGAGACCAGAAGAACTAGATGGTGCCCAGCTACCACCAATGACTGCCCTGACAAGGAACACCATAGAGAGTCCCTGATGGAGCAGGAGAAAGGTGGGGTGCAGAACTCAAATTCTAGTAAAAAGACCAGACTTAATGGTCTGACTGAGACTGGAGGAACTCCAGAAAGCATGGCCCCCGGACTCTCTGTCAACCCACAGCTAAAACAATTCCCGAGGCCAACAATACAGACAAAGATTGCACTGGACTTTGGGACATAAAATGATACTAGTGAAGAGTGTGCTTCTTAGCTCAAGTAGATACATGAGACTAAATGGGCAGTTTCTGTCCGGAGGTGAGATGAGATCTCAGAGAGGGTTAGGAGCTAGTTGAATGGACATGGGAAATCAGGGGTGGAAAGGAGGAGTGTGCTGTCACAGTATAGGGAGAGCAATTAGGGTCACATAACAATGTATGTATAAATTTTTGTATGAGAGACTAAC